TTCTGAAAGAAAGAAATTTACATGATGAATTTTAACTCAGTGTTTTCAAAGTTATGTGTCCATGACACCCAGGAAATATCCAACATTTGTGAAATCTACAGCATGCGAAAATGTTAGAAAACAACATAACTGACAGCAAGAACATTTCACATTGATGGATTTGGCCAGATGTCACAGTAGGTGTATATCACAGCACGGGAAGCAAGGGAGGGGAGTCAGAAGAGGAGGCTGCACAGTCTCTGATTCTGGGCTGTTTGAATACCATTTACACATGAAATGGCTGGTGTTTTTGAGAAAAACACAATGGTAAAAAGGAAGAAAATTGTACCCTTTGTGACAGCATGGATAGACCTAGAGAACATTATGCTAAGTGAAATAAGGCAGTCAGAGAAAGATAAATATCACATGCTCTCACTCATTTGTGGATTATAATGAACAATGTAAACGGATGAACAAAAACAGATGTAGAGACAGAGAAGCATTAATCAGATGCTCAAAACTCGGAAAGAAAGCAGGGGAGGATGGGGGTGAGGGGGAAAGATCAACCAAAGGACTTGTATGCATGCATATAAGCATAAGTAATGGATGTGTACAACAGGGGGTGAGGGTGAGGGCAGGATTGGGGGGACAAGGGGACATTGGGGGGATAAGGACACATTTGTAATATCTTATTCAATAAAGGGAAAAATATTTAAAAAAAAAAAACAGGCAAAGAACCTGAATAGACACTTCTCCAAATAGGACATATGAATGTCCAATAGACATATGGAAATATGTTCAACATCACAATTCATCAGAGAAATGACAACTAAAGCCACAATGAGAAGGCGTTGGAGGTATAGTGGTGAGGATAGCTGCCTTCTAAAACCACAATGAAATATCACCTTAAAGGTGTCAGAATGGCTATCATTAACAAATTAACAAACAACAAGTGCTGGCAAGGATGTAGAGAAAAGGGAACCCTCATGTACTGTTGGTGGAAATGCATATGGTGTAGCCACTGTGGAAAATAGTAAGAGAAAGACAAATATGATTTCACTCATATGTGTAATCTAATAAACAAAATGAACTAAGAAGCAAAATAAAGACAGACTCATAGATAAAGAGTAGGCTAACAGCTATCATGGGAGGGTAGCTGGGAGGGTGTGAGGAGATTGAGCAAAAAATATGAAAAAGAAATGAGAAAAAAACTCATTGACACAGACAACAGTGTCGTGACACAACTGGTTATGAAGAGCCACCCCAAACCACCTAGAAGTATACTTACTTTTGTGACATCATATGCTCCACTACTGCCAGAATTTGAGCAGACTACACAACTTGAACTCAACAACTTTCCCAAAAGAGCCCAAAAAGGAACTACTTTTGACCAAAGTAGGACATGTGTTCAACAGAAACCATTACAAAGACAATTACCCTGAATGCATGACCTGATTATGTATATACTGTAGGCCATTTCCTGCCTCAGTATACCAGGATAGCACCTATTTTTAGCAGTGAATAATTGTACCGTGTCACAATTGCTAAGAGATAAAGTCAATTAATAGGAATGGTCATGACACCCCATCCATTTTAACAACCAAAATAAAAATGTTCCACTTGCAGGATCCTTGGTACTGAGACTACTCCCACCCCCCAATAAACCACAACAAAGCTTGTTATCATTCTATTCAGAATGATCCTGATACCAACTGGTGTAACACAGTCCACCTTTAAGTACTCCCCAACTGAAAAATATTTCGTTTTTACTCAGTCATCTTTGTTCAAAACCAGAGAGTTTGCAAGCATTCAGAGTAATGAGAACAATAATCAGAGAGATAGGTGTCTCTACTTGGGGTTCTGTTGTCCAGTAGGGCTGAACTTGAGTCAAAAGTCACCTTTCAAAATATCAAAAAATGATTCTGAACAGACTGAGATCATTATACCAGAGCTTATCAACTGAGATATTACCTCATTTCCTAACATAAAATCCAACATAGTTATAAATACATCCACAGTATTCTCTTGGAGATACAGGCTGCTATCAGGGAAGGGAGCATGATTTAGAAGACACAGGTTCTAGTTCTAGCTCTATCACTAACTATATGAATTATCCTAAGTGTCCTCACTGGCTCTCAGTTTTTCCATCTGTATTGTGAAGGATTTGGCTCTCTAAGAGCTCTTTCAGCCACCAAATCTATGATCTCAAGTTCTTTTCGTCTCTTTTGCTGTATCTATGAGAGCTAATCTTACCAAAGCAATGGGACTAGACATAAAAACTTCATTATGAAGCTAGGTAAATAATACAGAACAAGAATTTAAATCCTCTTTTTCCGGCTGAATATGCTACAACAAACTCACTGAACACTATTTTCTTACTACTTGTGCCAACTTCCTAGGTTGACAAGGAAACAAAGAGCCTCAGGACAG